ACAAGCAATGTCAACAACAATCATCAGCTTTCATATGTCAATATTTCTTTCCACTTGCTGATTGCTCAACTGGAAAATCTTACAAGGCTACCAAGGAAGACTGCCTCCTCATAAGTACAGGTGTTTGTTCAGACCTGTGGACACTAGCAAACAACTTTGGGTATGGCTCACTCTTACCTGATTGTTCTACACTACCAAATGGTATGATAATAATCTTATCCATTTCTAATAACTTATACTTTATATAGCTGCCAACAGCACATCTTCCGTTACAATTCCAGGTGAAGGCATAAATGATACCAATGGTACTGATGGTATAGTGTGCAGAGAAGATTTTGTTAAAATAGATTTAATCTGTGAGCCAAGATGTGACAGTTTTGAACAAACTAGGTCTCATTTAGACGCACTGATAATGATCTATTCAGAAGTAGTTGCAACTAGCATGGGCTTAATTTTTTGTGTTATTGCAATTATAGTTGCTGTTAAGGAATATAAAACATCGTTAGTGACTGTCATTCTATCATAGATCTATCTAACATTGTATCATTTCAGGCTGGCATATCCTTCTGTATTGGTGTTCTTTCAAGTCATAGACATGATTGTATTTGGTAAAGAGCAAAAATAATATTTCATCTGATGTTCACCTACATGCACATATCTCTAGTCATATTACTAATCATAACTGCTATTGATCGGAATGGATTATACTGCAGTTCAGTTAGTCTATTGGAGACACTTGAAAACCCAACACCTTTCTGTAAATTTTCAGGTAAAATCAATCACTTGTCCATAACTTTTATTTTCAAGGTATATAGGAGTTGTATTTCATTATACTTTTGTAAATATAGCACTGTGGTGGTTCTTTCATGTTGCTATATTCTTTCACAAAGTATTGTTTCCCTTCCAAGCAAATAGATTTGAAAAGCTAGGACGTAACAAGTACATATTTGCAACTGTAACTATTTTATGTGAGTATTATTGTATTTATTAATTTTGAAATAATCTTTTTCCTATATAAAGCTATACTACTTCCATTGCCAGCTGTTATCATTTGCCTTTCTGTTGACAAATTCAAATATAATATTTATCGTTTCCCAACACTCCTTTGCATCAGCAATGGTGACATGTGGTTCTATTCTTCAACACTTCCAATGGATGTACTATTTGCTGCTGGAGTTATAATGCTGATTATAGTTTTTTGGGCTATGAGAAATGTATGTACACTAAAATATTGATTCTATAAATGTTTAAATTTCATTAATAGAAAACAAATTTCTTAAAAAAGAAAAATCATACTGAGCTTAGCACTGCTGAGAAGAAAATCCTATTGGTTTTTACAACTTATATTATTTTTGGTGTTTTTATTTTAGGGCATTTAAGTGACGTAACAGCAAAATCGGGCAAGTTTGAAGCAGCTTTAAGAGAATACTTTGAATGTGAAGCATTTGGTCACATCCCTGGAAAATGTGACAGAGGAACATTTGATAAAATCTACAATCCATACATGAGTGTCACTGCATACATGCTAATGAGTTTGATACCATTGAGCGTTTTGAACTTCATACTGAAGTGGAGGTCGGTTAAAAACACTGGAAATAAAGCCGTAAAATTGACAAAGATGTATTCAAGTTTTTTGTATCGTGGAAAAAGTTCTTTCACAACTTCTTCTATAAGTGTTGCAGATGAGTTATCGTCAAAATCAGATAAGAGTACAGAAATAAGTCAAGACACTGCTATATAATTTGAAAGTGCTCTTCGCAATTTATCATCAAAATCATAACATAAAGACATGAAAATAAGTGTATAATTTGACTTTTAATTACAAGTGATGTTTACTTACTGTTCTTTATTACTTTGATTGTCCGTCTGTGATCATAAATTTTTAATCAAATTAAAAAAAATTTTTTTATAGCTAGTGCAAACCTTCATTTACCAACTAAAAATGGTTAAAGAGCAGCACTAGGGAGAAGAAGCTTGCAAAGTCATATGGGGCTTGATTTAAAACTAATGATTTATCCAAACTCTTGAGTTCACTGTTATCATGGTAAACATCAATGTTATAAAGAGCTTTTATTAACTATGGTAAACATAATAAACATTAGTAAACAATAGTAAACATCACTGATAAGCATTGACAATGAGTGTCAAAAAATAATAAACACATGCAAATACTGATATACATTGATATACAATGGTGAACATAAGTAAAAGTAAAAATGGTAATCAACATAGGTAAAAGTGGTAAACATTGATAGACAGTAGTAAACATGGGCCAACAGTGATATACAGTGTTAAACACTCAGTGGTAAACACAGGTAAACAATGATATACAGTGATAGATCTATATAGTGTAAAACATAGGTATACAGTGATATACAACATGGGGAAACAGGAATGCATGCCTAATTCCTTATGCATTTTCTCTCTATATAATATTGCTACATTCACACTATGCACATATACTCCACACAATGTACATGTAGTTCCAGGCTACTATACTATTAAGGTAAGCAATCCATGTAATTGTATTTCTGCTAATATAAGCTGACCCATGCATTTGTTGGGATACAGCTAAAAGGTACTTCAATTATTCCCATAGCCACAAAAACCCAATTAGATCTATCACATGACCTTAAATATTAAAATTTACATTACAATAGCAATTAAACTAAAGTAAATACTTATACTAAATCTAGCACTATTAATGGTCATTTTGCAACTTATAGGGAAGTGTCAGCTATAGAAAGATGCTTTGCTGGAATAAAAACAAGCAATATATCATTGATAGAATCTTTACTTTATGAAGTCTC